TTCTGTGCCTAGCACTAAGTAAGCTGCACAGGAAAGTCCTATCTAAAGGAATGGCTTCTTGCACCATCTTATTCTGCCCAAGATTGGAGAGATGTTGGCCTAAGTAGACTGTTGGCCATCTAAACTCATGCTAAGCTACTCACAACTGAGTCTCACAGCTGCAGGGGCCCACCCTGCCTCAGGTACTTCAGTGTTTATGTGTTGGTGATATGGCAAAATACAAGTCTGCCACAACTGATGTGCATGTACCTATACAATTGTAGAGCTCCCATCTGTGAGCTACCATGAGTTACCAGCATGGTAATAGCTATGCCCAAGGTTTGGGTATAGTTAGTAGAAATAGTCTCTTGTCCACTAAATCTGATTCTAAGGTGAGTCACAGTGGAACCTCAAAGTTGCCAGGGCTCGTCCAGTTCAGAAAGTCAGGTGAGAGGACTCCAGTTCCACACTCAGGCTAGAACTGAGAGAGTGGAAACTTGGGTCTCCCTCAAAGCTACCCAGGTCTACACCTGATGTGGGAATGCATCTAGAGAGTAAGTCTGAGCTCTGGACTCTGCTTGGAGCCTTTAGTTTCTACCCAATGCAATCTTTTACTATGCTGGCTTTGACACGAAACTCTGAGTCAAAAGCCCTGTGTAGTTTTTATGTGGACAGGTAGAGTCCAGTTGTATACTGTGCCTCCTGAGGTTGGAGGAAGGGTTTTAGGAATAGTCTCTACCTCAGAACTTAATGTAGTTCTCATGACAAAATCCACAAATACTGGCCTACAGATACTAGGCACTAGGTATCACTGTGGCAGGCCTGGCCTTAATTCTCTCCCCAGGCTGATCTGCTTGGACGGGAAAGATTATCTTCTTGCCTTTTTCACTGCATGCTTTTTTCATAGCTATTCATTATGATGTATTTATAAGGAAAAAATCATTAACTTTTGGTTTATTTTGGGGGGGTTGTTTTGTTTTGTTGAGACAGGGTCTCATTCTGCAGCCTTGGCTGGTCTGAAACTCACTATATAAATCAGGCTGGTCTCAAACTCAGAGTTCTGTGTTCCTCTGTTTTGTGAGTGCTGGTATTAAAGATTTGTGCCACCCCACCTGGTTCCTCCCATCTTTAAGTTCCTAGGGTCTTTACTTATTGATATCACCTGAAAATCTAGAACAGCGCTTGCCTCATGGTGGTCATTAAATAAGTATTTTTGAGTATATATTTTAGAATACTCATAAAATTCCAGTAGTTCTGCAGCCTCATTAACAATGTACTGGCATGATTTTATATATTTTCGAACGTAATGTTTTTTCCCTATGGAACTCACTCTTCATCTGAGTTACATTTCACCAAATACAACTAATGTAATCAACATTAGATTTAACATATCTATTAATTATGTATCATTCCTCTTTTATGGAAGATCCATCAATATTTAGCTCATTTTCCTCTTGGTTACCCAACTCTGTTTGTTGTAGATATATGGAATTTCATATATTCAGTATTCACGCTCTTTAATAATTATCTGTATAGTAAATATGTATTGTTTTTGTTTTAGGGTTTTTTTTAAAGACAAGGCTTCTCTATGTAGCTTTGGCTGTACTAGGTACTTTTTGTAAGCCAGGCGGGCCTTGAACTCACTGAGATTCCTGCCTCTGCTTCCCCAAGTGCTGGGATTGCAGGTGTGTGCCACCACACCCGGCTATATCATAACCCATGGTTTTTCTAGCAATTTACAACTCTCTTACTTTTATTTATTGGATGCCTTGTGCCGTGGCATATAGTAGAAGTCAGAGGACAACTTTTGGAAATTAGTTCTCTTCTTCCACATATAGACCCCAAGGATTGAACTCAGGTTAGCAGGTTTTGTGGCAAGTACCTTTACCCACTGAGACATTTTGTAGCACATTTTCAGACACTTTTCAGGATCAGAATTTTTTATTTTAATACAGCTATATTGAGGAGTTATTTCCTTAAAGAGCACCCTTTTGTCCCCTTTAAAAATATAGTATTTTTAGTTTTTGAAATTAAAATATGATTATATATTTCCCTTTCCTCTTTCCAGCCCCTCCCATGATTTTCCCTTTGCTCTTGATTCATGGCTCTTTTTTCTTGAATTCAGTTTTTTTTTTTTTTTTTTTTTTTTATCTTAAGAGAGAAATAGTCTGACACATTGCTGGTAGAAATACAGAATAATACAACTCCTACAGGGTGAAATTTACATATAAAAAGTATATGGACATATATTTTTTTGTCTCAGCAATTTCACTTCTTAGAGTTTATTTGAAAGAAATGCTTGAAAAAATACCAAATTGTGTGTGTGTGTGTATGTGTATGTGTGTGTGTGTACACATACACACAAGGCTGATTTTCAGGGCATAACAAAACAGCATAAGACTGGACTATAAGACAAATATTTCAGTATTTGTTAGTAGGAAAGTATTTGAATAACTATTGTACATATAAACAAGTGAAGTATTGTATAACTGTAAAAGGCAAAATAATATTTTTAACATTAATATGGAATTATTGATGGAATGTATTGTTAAAATAAAAAATGCAAGTTTTGGTCAAGTATTTATATAAGAAAAGGATATAACTAATGAACTTCAGTTTCAAATAAAAAAGGAAATACTGGAACCGTACGTCAAACTTAATAATAAGAAATAGTACTTATGGGGAAGGAAGGGAATGAAATGAAAGGATCAGAGATGGAATGCTTCTTCTGTAAAGGTACTGTATAACCCTTTTCACTTTAGAGACAATCATGTTTTGCATGATGACAAATGTAATAAAACTTGAATAAAAAGGGAAAGGGGGGCTGGAGGATATTCTTCACAGATGAGTGCTTGCTTAGCATGCACTAAGCCCTGGATTCACTGTACAGAATCATAAACACATAAAACTCAAGAAAGAGTAAGTCTGTAAAATTCAAAAACAACCTGAAGCAAATGAAACAAATGATATCCATGGTTGGTAGCAAAACTGCACAGAAAAAAAATCATTACTTTAGTGACTTTAAAGTAATGCATACCTATTACTAATATAAAAGTATATTGAATCATTTTATTGTTATTTTGTTAGCATTTTATTTTGTTTTGTTTTGTATATTCATTGTTGTTGTTTATTAGTATTGCTTGTGAAAATTTTCAATTATGTGAGTAGTTAGAGAAAGACAATAAACAACTTTGATAATATTATTAGGAGCCAAGGAACTGGAAATAGAGCTAATTGATAGAGCACTTGCCTAAAAGGAAAACATCCCTGCATTTGATCCCCAGGACTGCCAAAAACAACCCTCCAAACGAAATAAAATAAAAGCGATGCAAGTCTAAAATCAGAATTTAAGAACAAATCTTGTCATGTTAAATTTGAATTGGAAATGCTGTTATAAATCTAGCATCTATTTTCTCCTATAAGCTATACCAGCTTTGTCTACGGCAAAGTCTTAGAAACAACAGTGAACACTCTGAACAACAGTAGTATCCAACTACTTTTCTTTAAAAGGAACCAGGGATCCTTGGAAAAATAGTCCAGGTTCAAGTTAGAAAATGTGCAAGATAAGCTTGGGACTCCTGTGGGTCCTAAGTGGGACAGTTTGTCCACTACTACAAATAGTGAATATATTTAATTAAAACACATGCGTTATATAAAAATATGTGATTTTACAGTTACACTGACATTAACCACTGGTCACCATAGATATTTCTTAAAGTAGTAGTTTCCTTACTCTCAAAAGTAATAAAGAACAGATAGAATCAAGCATTTATCCTGCTTTTTATTTTGTTTGTTTGTTTTTCAAGACAGGGTTTATCTGTGTAGCCTTGGCCATCCTGGAATTTACTGTATAGACCAGGCTGGCCTCAAATTTTTAAGCTTTCCTGCTTCTGCTTCCCAGAGTGCTGGGATTAAAGATATCCACCACCATGCCCAGCTGTGCTTTTTTGATTTGTTTTTAGTTTTTTCGAAATAGTTTCTCTGTAGCCGTGGCTGTCCTGGACTCACTTTGTACAGCAGACTAGCCACAAACTCACAGAGTTCCACCTGCCTCTGCCTCCCTGAGTGCTGAGATTAGAGGTGTGTATCACCATTCCCAGCTCCAGCTGCCTTTCTTATATAAATTATATTCAGGAAAATTAGGAGTTGATGATTATGATTTCAGATGAAAATACGAAGGAAATAATGGCATAGTGAAAGCCCCATTTTGAAATGGATAAGTTAATATATCTAAACAGTAATCACCAATGGATATAAAGATTATTAGGTAAAAA